TACCCAGTTCTGGGCCTATACGTGACTCCAGACCCCACCCCCACCCCAACACAGCGATTTGGAGGTCTCCTCACTGTGCTCGGAAAAGGCCATTCAGAATTGATGTGTTCGCACAGGGTTGTGGGGGGGCGGTGGTTGTGAACCTCTGGGACTATCCAACCGGCCCCCCCTCCCACCACTTCCTTCCAAAAATAGTTGTGAACGCTGAAAGTTGGGTGGCTGGGGTGGGGGGGGGGTCCAGATTGAGATTGTTTTGAGCTAAGGGTAGAAATGTTTGAACACATTTCGAGTCACAGAGATGTACAGCACAGAACAGGCCCTTTGGCCCAACTCGTCCGTGCTGACCCAGATATCCTAAATTCATCCAGTCCCATTCGGCCCATATCCCTCTAAACCCTTCCTATCCATGTCCCCATCCAGATGCCTTTTAAATGTTGTAATTGTACCAGCCTCCACCACTTCCTCTGGCAGCTCGTTCCACACACGCACCACCCTCTGTGTGAAAAAGTTGCCCCTCAGGTCCCTTTCCCCTCTCACTTTAAACCCAAGCCCCTGGTTTTGGACTCCCCCTACCCTGGGGGAAAACACCTTGGCTATTTACCCTATCCATGGTCCTCATGATTTTATAAACCCCTATAAGGTCACCCCCTCAACCTCTGACGCTCCAGGGAAAATAGTCCCAGCCTCCAACATCCTTGTAAATCTTTTCTGATCCCTTTCACAACATCCTTCCTGTAGCAGGGAGACCAGAATCGAACGCAGTATTCCGAAAGGGGCCCTAACCAATGTCCTGTACAGCCATAACATGACCCTCCCAACTCCTATACTCAATGCACTGACCCATAAAGTCAAGCGTACCAAACACCTTCTTCACCGCCCTGTCTACCTGCGACTCCACTTTCAGGGAGCTATGAACCTGCCCCCCAAGGTCTCTCTGTTCAGCAACACTCCCCCAGGGCCTTAACGTTAAGTCCTGCTCTGATTTGTCTTTCCAAAATGCAGCATTTCAATCAATTAAACCTCGGCCCATCTGATCCTGTTGTCCTCTTGAGCTTAGAATTCAGGATGGGTAATAAATGTTGCGCCTAGCCAGTGATGCTCCCAGACCAGCAATTGTGATATTTTTTGCTTCAAGAAAACGGCAGTAGATTTCCTTCCACCGATCAGCGAATCCCTGATGGTGTTTTTAAGCCACAGTCGATGATGATTATCTTGGCCCTCTCCCTGAAGTCTGTAATGCTGATTTAGGATTTAGGCCTCATCCTGGTAATCCCTCGCTGTCAGACAACGAGACTGTCAATTCCGACAAATTCCAGTTTTGTTCTTGTCTGAGCATCTCACCTCTTACCGGACAGATTCCCAGGGCTGACGTATGGAGAGAGGCCGGATGGATTAGGATATAGTGGCTGGGGTTTAGAAGAATTGGAGGAGGTGGGGGGTGGGGGATTGGAATCTCATCGAAACCGATAAAATTCTAAGACGACTAGACAGGAGGATTTCTGCTCCTGATGTCGGGGGAGTCCAAGTGGGGTCACAGTCTAGAGGAGACGGGGATAGGACTGAGATGAGGGAGAAATGTCTTCACCCAGAGACCGGGGAGCCCTGTGGGATTCTCCGCCCACAGAAAGGGGTCAGGGTCGGAACATTGGACTGTTTTCAAGAAGGCGTTTGGTACGGATCTGAAGGGATCGGAGGGTCACCATGGGATGGGGGATGAGTTGGATGATCATTCCAGATCCTGTTGAATGGTGAAGCAGGTTTGAAGGGCTGAATGGCCTACTCCTGCTCTTGCCTTTTATCTCATGCTTCCTGTGTCCCGCCAAATGTAGCCGAGCCTTCGGCCGCCTGGGCACTAAGCTCTGGAATTCCCTCTCTACACCTCTCCCTCTGTCTGTCACACACTCTGTCTCTCTTTCCAACCCCCC